GTAATGTTCAATAAACTGATTTATTAAGAAACTAAACGACTCTCGTTTGGAAAAAAAAATTAAAGATTCTTCTTTAGAGAAAGATTAAAGAATATCCTTAAGGCAATATCAATCCTGCTTGCTTGCTCTCCGTTTGGGAGGAGAACCAGTCCGTCCCCCCTGTCTCCTGCCCCCCCCCCATTCTTAAGGCAAGATGACAATATGTTCTGCCCTCCCTTGACTGTAATTTTTAATCTCTCCCCCATTTATTAAAGGAAGTTCTGTAATTTAAGAATGATGGACCAGACAGAGCTACTATGCAATCAGGTAAAAGAAAAAGTGAAATAGCAAAAGGAATGAAATAAGTAAATTGTAGGGGTGCACCAATAAAGATATTTGAGGCTCATACCAATATTCAGTTTTTAAGGAGGCATATCAGCTGATACTAATCCAATTTCTGATACAGTGTGGAGAGCTGCCTCCAGCTAGTAAGTCCCTCATGGTAGAAAGGGAGGGAGGAGGGAAGGGGTCTGTGGGGGGAGGGGCAGATCTCCCTCTTCCCCCGTGGTAAGGGAAGGGACAGGAGCTGGGGCAGGCACGGGATGGAGCCGTGACTCATGAGGGGAGGAGAGGGGTGGCTCCCACCACTGCTGCTTGCACCCTAGGAGGGCACGGGGGGTGGGGGAAGGACATGGGACGTGTGCCCCCAGATCTGCATGGGGCAGGCGAGCTGCAGCTGTGGGCTGGAGCCGGGGCTGAGCCAGGCTCTTATTGCCAGGGCAGGGGCTACAGAGGGGGCTGCAGCCAGTCCAGATTTTGCCATAGCTCCCTCCCAGTGCCACCACGTTCCTGGCACAATCCTGGCTCAACCCCTGCCTCCCCCCACATGCCAGGAAAAGCTGAGGCTGCAACGGGCACACAGAGACACTGCGAGAGAGCTACAGTGAAATCTGGGGTGGCTGCAGCCCCTCCGTAGCCCCTGCCCCGAACCTAGCCCCTGGAGAGAAGAACCCGGCACAGACCTGGTCCCAGCCCACAGCTGCAGCCCACCCCAAACCCAGCCCCCTCTCTCACTGCAGGGGAGTTGATCTGCCCCCCGCATGCCCCTTCCCCTCCCCTTCCACCACAATGGACTTATCAGCTGGAGGCAGCTCTCCACACTGCCAGGCTGTGCTCCTTGCTGCCTGAGTGCTGCGCTGTGGCTGTGCACATGCATGGCATTTATGGGCCACATTAGGCCGATTTCTGATACAGCCAATTTGCTTTATATCAGTACCAACCCAGTATTGGATCAATGTATTGATGCACCTCTAGTAAACTGATGTTCTTCACTAAAAACTTTATTGTCAACATCTGGGGTGGCTATTATCATTGAATACAAGATATTACAGGGGAGAAAAATCTAGCACTGGATGTAAAAGAGGTTTTTTGACATGTTGCAAATCCCCACAATGCCAATAATAATCAGGATATAAGCAAAAATGAGAGGGTCCTAGTGGTTACCAGACAGGAATGATATTCTATATCCTTTCTCCCCTCCCCACCATCTCTATTAGCATAGCCTTGAACTCTGGAATCTTTACCAAATGTATAGGTTTATGTGACGCTGGTCAGGCCACAGCTGGAGTATTGTGTCCAGTTCTGTGCGCCCCATTTCAAGAGGGATGTGGACAACATGGAGAGGGTCCAGAGGAGGGCCACCCGCATGATCCGGGGACAACAGGGCAGACCCTACAGTGAGAGACTGCGGGACCTGAACCTATTCAGCCTCCACAAGAGAAGGCTGAGGGGGGACCTGGTGACCGTCTATAAACTCACTAGGGGGGACCAGAAGGGTTTGGGGGAGACGCTGTTTCCCCTAGCGCCCGCTGGCATAACAAGGAGTAATGGGCACAAGTTGATGGAGAGGAGGTATAGATTGGACATCCGCAAAAACTACTTCACAGTTAGGGCGGCTAGGAGCTGGAACCAACTTCCAAGGGAAGTGGTGCTGGCCCCTACCCTGGGGGTCTTTAAGAAGAGGCTGGATGCCTATCTGGCTGGACTCTTTTGAGTCCCGTTTTTGTTTTGGGGTTTTGTTGTTCTCCCGCCCTGGCGGGGGGTCGGGCTAGAAGATCTACTAGGTCCCTTCCGACCCTAAATCTATGAAACTATGTGAGCAAGATTTTGGGGAACAGGTTCACAAACCCTTCCTTCTCTGACCAAAAACAGATGATAAAAGTAACAACCCTCTCCTATTAAATTAACCTATTTAGCAGGAGTTCCAAAGCCTGATTTGCAAAGATCTTATAGTGATATTACTGTACAGATGTCTTGATTGCTGAAGATTATAGCAGGGACTTGAGAAGAGGCGATGCAGCTAAACTCTGTGGTATCACAGACCTAAATGCTGAGATAGCTGGCACCATCAGCAACAGTTTTGAGGTCACCAGTCCATGAGTAAACAAATCCAGTGATGTTGGTACTGGTACAGGCATATTACCATATTTACTCAACTACAAGATGACCCTAAGTATAAGATGACCTCCCAACTACATTCTATATATGGAACATTTATAAATTTATTTTCCAGGTGTAGAATCTAATTATTGCAATGCTGTCTTAAATTCACTGCCTTTCCACTGCTACAGCAGGGAAAACAGTGGCTGACGGGGCTCAAGTAGCCTCCTTGCCCTCTGCCCCAACAACTTCTTTGCCCTGCAGACTTCCTGCCCCCCTTTACTGTCAGTCCCTGCTCAGGCTCTTTTTCCCCCAAGCACAATGTGGAAGTGAGCTGCAAGTGGTAGTAAGAAGGGTAAAGGAACAGAGAAAAGGACTTAAACTGTAGAGGAGAACAGGAGACTGTTCTGGGTCTGACTCTGGCTCCAACCTTGACTGCAGCAAATCTTAGCACAGGTACTCCATAAACAGGCCTTTAAGTACTACTTTTGCTCCAACTTATACATAGTACAAACTGTGCATGACATTAGTCCAGAGCCAAAAGGCTCATGGCTTAACATATAGTTTACTGGGCTGGGCTCCAGCAAAGTCAACAGTGTTTCAAGCCATGGTGAACCCACAACCTAACAACTCAGAAAGGATCCATTGCCCCCACTTGCAACTGGAACTGGGTGTTCTTGTCACAAGTTCTGAGACCCTCCAAAACGCAGATGAGGCTCAGGGCTGCCTGGTCCCCTTCTACCCCATACAGGGTGGAGCTGAAAGAGGGGCAACAGAGCCTCTCAGCTACATAGAAGTTTGGTAATGTTTGCCAGCCATTTAAGGCTCAGAGAAACAGAAATCATTAAAAATGGGAAAGAAATGTGTTGCTCAACTGTGGGAATGAAGAGGAAGTTGAAATGTATTTGATGTAGTGGCTCACCATGACTTGAAAAAGTTGGTGTTGAGGGGCATGAGTACAATGGGCACTATATCTTATTCAGATGGGCTGTACTAACCTATCCTTGTGGTAGGTTACCTTCAGTCTATTAGCCCAACATGGACCATGTGTTTTATTGGTGCACTCAGCATGGGTTGCATTCAATCAACTTCATAACTGGTTTCCATAACTGAGCACATGCTGCTTCTAACAGAAGTTTAATTGACAGCCAGTGTCAATGTATTTGTTGGGAGGGGGAACGTTTGCTAACACATGGATGTAAGACAACAGGCTTTTTTTCCTCGTGCTGATTTGGAGAAAAAAATCCTGATCTTATATTTGTGTAAATATGGTAATAACAAAAATCCTGTACAGCAAGGATTGGCAACATTTTTTGGGAGCGTGCCAGAAACACCTGCAACCTTGACTTGTATGATGATGGCATGCCAGGGACGGATAATGGTGGGGAGGTGGAATGGGCCCTATCCTTGTTGTGACAATGCAGCCCTGGCCCCTTCCCCAAGGCAAGCATACCAAACAAAATGCCTTTGCATGCCACACGTTCTAGGGGTTGCCTACCCCTGCTGTAGGGAGAACCATTGAGGGGATCCTGAAGACAACAAAGGATGGCTCCTTGATTTGCTGTGATATACACAAACCACAGTGTTTATGGTTGCCAGAGGGAACTAAAGTCATGTCTATGCTACTCTCTGACTGAAATTTCACTTGGGAAGAAATGTCAAAAATTAAATGTCCAGGGAACAAACAAAATAAAGTATTAAATATGACAATGTGCTACAGCAGAAACCATAGTAGACTTGTTACAAAAAGAAATAAGCACAAATATACAGTCCTAAATTTTACATATATCACTGCCTTGTGAAGCAAACTCCCATCATTGAACTAGTTAAGAGTTATTTAACAATATGGCACATTGTTTCTTTCAATGGCTACAAAGATAAAAAGAAAAACATAAAAATTATTCTTCAAATGAATTTAAAAGACAATTTAAACAGTTTCCATCTATACATATGAGGTATAAGCTGCATAAAAAGCATTCTCCCAACATACTACAAAATTGCAGGACTGCGTCTCATCTCACTTTTGCTGACTATCCCTAAAAAAACTTCACCAAAGACCAGCATATATGTCAAAAAATGTAATCAAATTCTACCACAAAATAGTCTAAAATCTCCTGATTTACATTAAAATACTTTTTGTTAAAAGTAGATATTCTGTTTTATGCTTGCTAGCCCCAATTCTATTTTCAAATGTCACATGAAATTAATTTGTAATACTTACCACATAAATGTTTAAATGCATCAACATTTCCTAATGTTTACTATTTATAAAGTAGTAGCAAGTAGACAGGTTTCGAAGTCAAAACATTGAACAACTACTATCAATTGGCTCTGAGCATACAAGTTTAGAATAGCTTTTGTGCTAAAACTTTTCTAAAGTTTCCCATGTTTGCTTTCAAGACAAGATTTGTTTCCTGAAGGCTGATCTAAGTTGGTGTTTCCTTATACTGCCTTCCAACTCAGTCTATATCAAATCAAGATTCCACAGATTTTAAGTCACAAAAGACCATTTACCCTGAAAAAGGATGCTCTCCTGAGCAGTGCTTAATATATTTTCATATAATGTACAGATTCCTACTTACCAGTTACTTGCATCTGTAATCTTCCATTATGATTGTTACTCGTATCAGATCTTGGTGAGGCTGTAGCCATGTCAAAGGCTGCAGCTTTCGCCTATTAAAAAACAACAGATATTTTGCACATACCCATTTAGCTTACTGAAAGCATCCAAATTCACATATTATTCACGCCTATATGAATTAACTGATCAACGAAACAGAGTTCCCTCCTGTTAATGATATACCAAAATATGTTTTACCACTGTATAACAAACTTAGAGTAAATTTAAACTTTTATTGTGCTTCCTTCGAACAACCTCAAAGGACTTCACAAATATTAAAAAGTTGGTAGGAAAGTATTACTTTGATTTTACTTCAGTTGCTTAATACGTAGTGGTTGATAACTTGAACGCTTAAGGGTTTGATTTTTCAAAGAGACTGTGCGCCAACAATTTCAGCTGAAGTCATAGGGAACTACAGATACTCAACTATTCTGAAAATCAAGATGTAGGTGAGTTGCTCAAGGTAAAAATAAAAACCAGGCAAAAAGGCAGCATAGTCAAAAGTAGGGGTGTCAAACTCACCCTGTGCATGAAGCAAAGACCATGGCGCTCCTTGAGGGCCAAATCCAGTCCGAGGCACAAGGAAGTGGTGGTGGCAGCAGTAGCTACTTTGGCTCCAGCCAAAAGAATACAACTGTGGTAGTGGTTTGACCTGCATAGCACACCACTGCATACCCTGTGCCACAGCATCAGCTCCAGCAGGGGCCCTCAGCTAGGGAGGTAGGACCATGGCAGTGGTAACAGGTGATGAGGCTGAAGGGTGGGTAGGGCTTTGTCAGCCCTCCTTCGCCTTCCTGCCATGGATCACCATGTCCACTAGGGCCCAAAGGTCTCAAATTCTGCAGCAGAGGCCTATTCCTCCCAGCCACACCCTCTAACTTCCAGTAGCCTGCTCATACCAGGCAGGCTATATCCAGCCCATGGGCCTATGTTTGACATCCCTGATCTAAGATGGGTACCAAACTGGGATCCAAGAGGCTTAGCTTTCATTTCCAGCTCTGCTAAAAGACCTCGGTGACTTTTGTGTCCATCCATCAATCAATCAACTTTCTTGCCTATGTAGAATGTAGATGCTTTAGGGCTGGGATTCCTTCTTACTCTGTTTACTGGCTAGAACAGTGGGAACTTGATCTCATCTAGGGCATCCACACACTACATACAACATACACACTACATCCAAAGCAAAATAAAAAATAGAACGCAAATCTAGGTTCCAACTTCTGTTCTTGTCACAAGATATTCCCTTCCTAAATAGACATACAAATTAAAAACAAACAAAATTTACTTTACGGCTCAGATTAGGTACACATAAATTAAAATTTATAACCTTGTACTGGTAAAAGCAATAACATGAAAATCATCTAGAGCAGGGGCGTGAAACATGCAGCCCGCAGGCAGGGTGCAGTTCCTGGCAGGCCAGAGAATGTGGTGACAGGACTAGCAGGGAATCAGGACTGCCACAGAAACCAGAGCTACAGAGGCCCATTGGGCATGACCACTGGCAGCACAGAGTAAGGGCTATGCCACAGCAGCACTACTAACTCCATACACTTGGCCTGTCGCCATCTGCCCCACTGCCTCCATTGCTGGTCCTACCATTGCTACCTGGTCCGCAAGGAGCCCCATCATTTGGATCCAGCTCAGGAGGCAGGGTGAGTTTGACACTGCTGATTTACAAAATTGGAAAGAGAAAGGTACATATCTAGGGCCCTGTGTAGTCTGCAATATAAGGCATGGGACCAGGTTCTGTGGCAAGCATCCTTAACTTGCTGCAACCTGATCTGGCAGCTGCTTCAGCTGGTCTGGGATTGGCATCATGAGCAGTGTGGATCCTGGAGCAGGCAAAATAGGCACTGTGTGGTATGGTGCAGCTGACGGCTGCCCCAGCCAGACTGCCACATGCACTACTTGCATAGCAGCTCCAAGCACATGGTGCTAGCTCTACCTGGTCCAGGACCCATGCTGCACACAGCGCCTGCAAGCACTGTGGATCCTGAACAAGCTGAAGCTGGCACCTGGTGTAGTGAGCATCCCAGAGCAGGCCCCATGTGCAGCGCACTCTGACAGAGCATCCACTATGTGCAGCCCAGTGCCACTCCAGCCAGATTATGCTGCACATGGTGCCCATTCTAGCTGTTCTCGGATCTGAGCTACAAATGGTGCAGGTCCCAGATTGGCTAGAGAAACATTTCAGAAGTTTTGAGTTTCAAAGCAGCAGCCCAGCCAGCAGCAGAGAAGAGCCAGGGCTGTGCTCCCAGCAGCTCCGTGCAGCCCCACGTGGCTCAGCCTGGCAATGAGCGCAGCCCTGGCTCTCCTTGCCTCCCAACGCTGGGCTATGCTCCAGTCGGCTCCACCAGCCCCATGGAGCTCAGCCTGGTGCTGGAAGGCAGGCAGAGCCAGGGCTGTACTGCTTCCTGCCACCAGGCAGAGCTCCACCAGGCTGCAAGCCACTGGGAACCCAGCCCAGTGCAGGGCTGGGTTCCCAGCGGCTTGTGGCTCGTCAAACTGAGTCCTACCTCCCTCCACCGACTCAGCTCTGACCGGGCTGTTCTCAAGCAGCTTTCAGCCCAGTGGAGGCAGGTGGGGTGGGGTGCAGCCCGGGGTCTGTGTTTAACCTCCACCTGGCTCAGTTCCCAGTCACTTGTAGCCTGTGGAACTGAGCCCTGGCTACCTCCACTGGCTCAGCTCCCAGAAAGGCGGCGGCAGCAGCCTCCTGCTCGTACCCCCAGGAGAGCTGCCGGGCTCTGCCGGACTACTTCTCTGGGTGCCGGCCCCGATCTGCCTAAGATCAGAGGAGGCTGCTCCTCCTCTAGTTTCATGCTTATTATTGCCTGGGCGAACCATCGAAACAGAGTTGAAACTTCAAAACGGTTTTGATGAAACAGAACAGTGCTTTCAAAATGAAACTAAACTCTAAATGAAACACTGTTCCAACAAAACACAGCACCGTTTTGCTTCGACTTGTTTCGTGCAGCCCTATGTTCCAGTTTTTGAACCAAAAAGAAAAACAAAGGAAAAAAGAGTGTTTAAAAATGAATTAGGTTAAGCATGATGGCTCATTATTCGGAAAACCAAAAGCATTTTAATCCAAAAAATTAAGACTTAAACGCTAACTAAAATTATGTAAACTGTTCCCCATCTAAAACATAAAAACATTATAACAAAAACCTAATAAAGGCCAAGAACCTCCAGTACTCTGAAAGACTGAGAAACTGTTAAGTCGGCTTTCTTTCCAAGGTACATAACATTATAGTTTGGAAGGATATATTTTACTCATACATCAATAGTATGCAAAGATATGCTATTTGTACAGATTTAGGAGGAAGAATCATTTCCCCAAAGATCATTTAATCTTTAAAAAACAACCCAAAAAACAAACAAGCAGAAAACCCACGGACAAAAGGTGAAGAAAAGAGATACCAAATGGAGAATGATGTGGTCAAAATAATAACTAGAAAACATCTACCTAACTACAAGCTTTTTCCTTATTAAAAAAAAGCTACACACAAACACCTTAAATTAAAACAGCATTAAGCATAAACCAAGCACTTTGAAAGTTCAGAAATGCCAGATTAAGCTTTTCTGTACAACCTTAATTCAGCCCACTTGCACCATGACATCACGACTCCCAGTACTGCACAGGGGAACAGGGACTCTCCCATAGCCTGCTGGTCCCCCTTGGCCAGTTTGTAGACAGCCACCAGATCCCCT